TGCTGTGGGCATTTCTTCTATTCTGTTATATCAGTAATAGTGCCTTACTGTGCAAGGCACCAAAGGAAATAAATATATACTTGCAAAGATTCAAGATGAACTGTTGTTCCCCCCAAGTCCCTTGCTGACTGTACTCTGGCTACTTCAGGGCTAGAGAGAAGGACTGGACCTGCAGAAGAAACTGGGTTTTTCCTTTGTTTTTGTTTTGTATTTCTTCTCATTCAGCAAACTGAAATAAAAACATGGTATAACCAGTGTAATGAGACTAACAATTTCTGCACTGAAGAGCTATATGGCCACTTTGATTTAAATAGTAGTTGGCAGGTATCACTTGTGATTCTAGAAAATCTGAGGAACAAAAATACATTAAGTAATGAAATTAGTGTGTGAGTATAGTGAACTGGCATCACCTTTCAATAACTGTTTTTGTCTTTGTTTCCCCTAAGTGTTGCAGAGGAATGTGGGCTTCAGAGAGAAAAGGAAACTAATATTCTAGATGACATCAGGTCTACATCTAAAAGAGACACTTGTCAAGTTACCAGTTTACCAAGCTGCCTCATTATTTGGAGGTTTTCTGCCATTTTTGGTTCCACACATTGAGTTTATAGAGTTTAATCTGAGACTCTTCTGCATCAGTGGCCCGTTCCCTTAATTATTTGTGGTTGCTGAGAAATTGTTTTGTGTCTGCTTTGTTCCTAGTGGTCTGTGCTGTTTTCTTAACCCATTTCCTGTTTGCCCCAAGAATACTCGCTGGCAGTTGCCCCGAGATCACTCCCGGTTTACAGTCTTAACCTCGCCCCCAAAGTTTGCCACAAAATAGCCTCCTTTTTAAATTATTTTTACATCGCTCTAGTGTATCGATAGTCTTTGGAAACAAGTGACATCATTCTATTAATAGTCTTCTGTTTTTAGTGCTGTTTCCATTTACAAAATACAGTAATTCTCGATCGCTGAAAATGTCAAATCCTAGAAAACAACATTCCGACGCTTGATGTTCACATTGTTCTCGAACAGTTGTTAGCCGAAGATGCATTTGATGAATCCGATTTATGTATACATTTCTTTTACATTAGGATTAGAGACAAGTTCTGTTTAGAAATAACTCCAAGAACAGTTGTTATATTTCATTTTCACAGTGAGAACCAGTCAGATTTGCTTCAGCCTCAAAGAGCGTGTTTAAGTAAATTTAACGCTGGCAGCGAGCTGCACTCTCATCTGAATGGGAAATGGGTGAAATCTTCACAAGCACTTTGGATTTAGTACCTTGGCAGGTAGAGTAAGATCGAAAAGGTTAAGGTGGTACGGACCAGGCACGCTCTCTGGGACCTGACTTGTCACAGTTAGTGATAATCTGGAGTTAGAGGCCAAAGTTGAACGCGATCGAAAAGTTAAGTTTTAGCATTATGTTTGTAACATTGCAGTTTAATACTTACTCTCTGCCTCATCATATAAATAGCTGTCTTATCAGTTATTACTACAGTTATTTGTAGGTGGTACAAGCCAGTATCAGACATCATCCTGGGCTGGGCACTTAGCTGCATGTTCTTTAAGTGAATAATTCCATTAAAAACAAACAAAAACCCTTTTAATACAAATTCTTTTGCTTAGATACCTCTAGTTTAGACTTTGGGGTAAACAGTCTAAATTTTTAATAATCTTTGAGTCAGGGGAGCCACTCGGAATTAGAATAACCCTAAAATGTCAATCTTAATCATCTTTCTCATACACAATTTTTGGTACTTTTGTGTTATCTGGTGACTGTAGTAGAAAGTATAAGATTAGTCACGTATTTGCAAAACTTGATCCTCTGGGGTGTCCTGCTTGGAGCTGGCCTTCAGTAAGGCCTCTGTTTTGCTACCCCCAGGCGTCTCCCCCAAAGCCGCCTTGCTTAGTCACATCGACAGCATCAGCTGAAGAAAAACCCTCCATTTCTAAGGACACTTGTTTTTTCAAGACTTTCTTACCTCTCTGATAATGTTTGGCTTTTCCTAAAACTGTTTGACTTTTCCAAGTTCTTGGGTTTTTTCCTCCAAGTTTCATTTTAAGAGTGTTTTCATAAACCATTTGATAATAGCTTTCAACATTAGCCCTTTGAACCAGAACCAAGTGTGCAATAACAATTTAAACACTTGTCATTCAGTGTGGTAATTTCTCATTTGGTGTGGTACCTTTCAAAATGGTAGTTTATATTAAAGTTTTCATGAGTGGTGTTAACAGTTTAAAAATCAGAAATGTCTATAGGGTTTTCAATATTAAGAATCCCAGTAAATACTACATAATTCTTAAAATACGAACATATCCAAGGTGGATATTCATCTGGTAATGTACAGGTATGGCTCTCTCAATTGTTAAACCACTGAAACGCATGGCATCGGTTCTGGGTCCACAAGCACATCTGGCAATCAAACCAAACTAATGGCCAGTATAGGTAGAGTTTAGGCTGAAAGCAAGGCATTCAGACTCAGAACTGGGGTCTCAGTGAAGGATCCAGCAAGGAGATGCGGCCATAGGCTGATGCCAGCACCAGAATCTGCTCTGATACTGCTTTGAAAGAGTTGCTCTCAAGGCCCCCACTGCAGTAAACTACTGTGTCTGAATACTGTTGGCTGCCTAAAATGAGCTCCAACTCAAATGGGCTTAAACGTGGTTGAGTTCCATGTGACAGCTCCATCCTGGGTCTTATAGACATGAAGAGAAACGATTCCATTTCTTGTTAGATCCAGGTAGAGAGCATATATGTGTTCGTGTCCCACCCCCCACTTTTTTTTTGAACTATCTTGAAAAGTGTCATAAGGTTGGGGATATCATAAGTTTTCCATTTAAGTCAGCACTTTAAAAGTACTCTGTCTTGTGGGCATACAGGTGTTTTAGGTGGGGATTCTCTAAATATGGTCTCTGGACCATCGGTATCAGAATCATGAAAATATGCAAATGGCCAGTGAGCTCATGAGCGAGGCTCTGTATCGTCAGTCATCAGGAAAGTGGAAATGCAAACCACACAGATAGCACTGCACTTAGTAGAATGGCAGATGTAAAAAGACCTCTTGACAAAAAGGTGGAGCAACTGGAACTAGGATCTGGGTGGGATTATAAAGAGGTAGAGCGACTCTGGAAAACAGTTTGGCAGTTTCTTATAAATTAAACATCCTTATCAGCCAATCCAGTAATCCTACTCCCAGGTACCCAAGAGAAATAACCTGTGTCCACACAAAAACTTGTGTTCGTAGCAGTTGTATTCATAATAGCCACAAATTGGAGATAACCATAATATCACCAACTAGACAAGATAAATCCTGGTACATTTCCTTAGAGGAACTACTGATAACATGCAGCAACGTGAATAAGTCTTTAAAACTTTATACTTGGCTGAAAAAGCAGACAATAGAGTACTCATGCGAAATCCTAAAACAAACTAAACTTTAGTGAGAGTGCAGATTTGCTCGCGGTTGAAGGTCAGGGAGGAGGATGTATCGACTGCAAAGGGACACTATTCCATATCTTGATTGGCAGTGATTACTACATTTGTCAAAGGGTACTCTTGAGATGGGTGTACCACTTTGGTGCAAATTATACCTCAAAATTGGTTTAAATCCCCTCCCCCAACCGCCCTGGTGGCAGTATGGGCTCTTAGTGTTTCTCCAAATGTGTTTTCTGCACCATCTGCATCAGAATCACCCAGAAGGCTGATAGAAACTGGACTTGGGGGCCCGACTTGGGGACCCACTGCATTAGAATCTCAGGACTTGGAGTATGATGAGTTGCATGTGCTTAATAGGTGACTGTTCAACAGACTGGATGTCAGGAGCTGCCCCGCAGAGGCTGCTGTGAGCTGTTGGGCCGCCTGTGTCAGAGGCAGGTCTCCAGAGCTCCAGGAAACAAGCCAGTGCTGGTGGCAGTGTTACTAGATGTTGATTTCAAACAGTAGCAGTTGGCAGTGCCTGGTGGGAAAAGAGACGAGAGAAATGACTCAGAGGGATTCCATGCAGACCAACCTGCTGTGTAACTTTTCCAGCTTCTGTTTTGTAGAAAGAGAAAGACATGCTCTGAAGGTGAGGCCGAAACTTAATGAGAATGTCCCTCAATGAAACAAATAATTACACGCTGGAACAAAATGCCGGCGAAGGAATAATTTGTGAAGCTGCTAGTTCTCAAGGCAGGCTGCACATCAGAATCCTGTGGACCCTTTTAAAAAAAAAAAGTTTTTTTTACTAAAGTAGTACATGAATATGGGTTATTATTTTTTTATATGAATATGGTTTTAAGTTAGTATTAAAGGATGTAATGTTTAAAAAAATTCAGTCTCCTCTCCACCACCTCCTTCTCCCCGCCCCTCCCGCCCCTTAACCTCATTCCTGTTCCTCGGGGACAGACATTTTAGTTTTTAATCTTAAGTGTAACAGCTTGGTGAATTTTTGTATGTCTACGCCCAACTCTACCCAGATCAAACTCTAGGCCATTTCCGGCACCTAGAATGTTCCCTGGCATGTCCCTTCCCAGTCATTACTCCTTCGCTCAGACAGCCCCTCTTCTGACTTCTGTCACCACCAATTAGCTTTAAGGCAAACGTTTTATATTTGCTGTTTCCTCTAGTATTTGTCTCCATATTTCTAAACAGTAAGCTTACCCAGCTACTACTTGGTTTGCCAGCTTTGGGTAGTAACTAGCAGGTTTCCTAGTGTAGTAGATATAAGTTCACTCTCTTATTCCCCTACCTCACCAAGTGAAGCTAAATAACTTTCAGATTTCCAGGCCATGGCACCATGCCCTGGGCACCTCCACAGGTGCTTTTAAGTGTCACCCGAGTCCAGGGAGCCCCAGGCCGGTGGTACTTGGCCTTGAAGCTGGGAGGAGCCAAAGGGCTCCTGATCCGAAACCAGCCTGATGTACTGGGCACAAGACGTCTGCTGAGGAGGGCTTTGCAGTGGGTTAAAACGCCATGTTATCAAGCTCGGGGGTTAATTTGTAGCTGCAATAAGAAGGAAGCCACAAGACGGACCAGAATGTTTCTATGATTTTTATTGCTTGTCAAGCGCACCCTTCTCCCAGGCGCCCGTACATTCTGTACGAGATGCTGGTTTAAATGGACCGATAGAGGTCTCTCTAAGGTTGGGATACGTGATCTGACTTCAAAGAGGAAAGTGTTCTGCTGAATGCTTGGCACCAAGATAAGACACAGGTGTAAGTCCCCTGTCGTAGGTCTGTACAGGCTGGGGAGACTAAACAAGCCCTTCCAGGCCCTCTAGCCCTTCCCTGAACCCCGACACAGACATCTCCAGGCTGGTGTCCCCACAGCTGTGGGTGGACGAGCTGTCTCGGACATCCCCACATTTCTCCAGTTTTCTTTCTCACTTGGACCCCATGCTGTGCAGCAACTTGTACCTACCAAGGTGCAGGGAGGGCGGATATGCTTCCTTGGCTCCTCCTTCCCAGGCGGCCCTGTCCTCTGCCTTGTCCCAGCCTTGGCCATCAATGCAGAACCTCCCTCCTCCTCTTCCTCACTTGCCGTGACACTGGTAGTCAGCTGTGTCGGCCATGTGTCCAGCTGCCCAGAAATGGCATGCATAGCAATGGTGTCCCTGCTGTCAAACTCCACGGCCACACGACAATGGGAGACTCATTTCATGGGCTCATTGAGAACCAGGCTGGGCTCAGCGGAGATCGCTAATCCTTTTCTGTTCCTCCAGGACCAAAAGGGTGTGTGTGTGATGACATAGGTGAGGGACGAGGAAATGCCCATTTTAATGAGGGAGAGACCAAGGCTCAGAAATGCTTTAAAAAAATTAAAAAAAAAAAACCCTCCCAAGGTCACAAAATAAATCCGCTTTAGCAGCTGGAGACTAGAGACTGTAATGGGCACTCGGCCCCAGGCCACAGAAAGCCTCTCAGCTGCCAGGCTGGCTCAGGCAGGGAGACACGAAGCGTCCAGGGTTGGACCTCCCCGGGGGCTGCATGCCTCCAACAGGCTCAAGGTGGGCGGAACCCGTCAGTCTGTCCCCTTGGCGCAGACCCAGGGTCTTGAAGAGGCGCAGTCCAAAGCCACAAGCTTGCCTCCCTCCAGACCCCCGCACTGGAGGTCCAGCTGGTCCTTGTCTTCCTCTGGGAGTCTGGGGAAGGGCGAGAGGAAAGCGGGGTGTGCTGGGTGAAGGGGCTTCCTGGCGTCGCGGCCCTCCAGCCCGCTGGCCTGGGTACTGTTCGAATCACCACACGGGGTCTGGAAGCGCCCTGAGGGAGGGTTCGTGAGGCTGCCCCTGGCTCATCGGCTGCGTGGCGCTGGGTAAACCACCAAACCTGAGTGGCGCACCCCTTATCTGTAGAACAGGTGACAGTCCTGCTTGGGTGAATGTGCTGGGGGTCCCAAACAAGGGGTGGGGTGATGGGGACTAAACAAAACCAGGCCCTGAGCATGGGTTTGGGGTCAGCCTCCCAAGGGTCACCTCAGGCCAGGGGTGGAACATGGGGACTGAATTTGGGGAGGATCTAGAACAGCCATAGGGGAGGTGGGGAAGGACTTCGGCTCCTCTTTGGCACCTGCTGTGATGTCACTTTGGTCACCCCGGGGAGCCCATGCTAGTGCATTAGGGACAGAGGGCGCCCTCCACACAGGCCCACAGTGACTTACAGTTGGGGTTGCAGGGGGGCCCCATCAATCCAGTGCCAGCCATAGGGGCCTCGCCGGGCCCCCACCCAGGAGGACTTGGTGACCGGGTATCTGCTCAGGAAGTTCTGAGAGAGAAAAGCAGCTGGTCACTCCTCCAGACGCTGGCACGGCTCACCCGGGGCTTCTGCCAAGTTCCCAGCCTGCCAGGCCGAAGAAGCAACCCAGCTCAACTCGACTCCCCCAAAACACCAGGAATCGGAGAGTCGTACTGGATGTTTGCTGGTTACCAGGCACTGCACTCAGGACTGGGGACCAGAAATGGGGGTGACCCCATCTCAGCCCTCGAGAGGAGAGGACGTGAATGCCAGTCCCCACCGAGCAATGCATAGTCATATTGAGTGGAGAGGTGCTGGGAAAGGCATGAGCAAAGCTGGGAGGCTACAAAGGACATGAGGTGACAGCAAACAGCCTAACTGGGCAGGAGGCAAGTGGATTAGGCGGCACAGGCGTCCTGGGGGCAGACAGTCAAAGGCACCATTGCCAGCAAGAGCATAAGTTACATCGTATCAGCTTAGTAGAGTACTATTAAGGCCATTAAAAGAATAAAAGTATGAAGATCACAGAGCAGCACGGGGGAAGGTATGGTACATGAAAGGCTGTAGTGTGTGAGGGGTTACAGTTAAGTGAAAAGCTGAATCCAAATTGTGGCTTGATTATAATAATGAAAAAATGTGGATGCAGAGACAAGGAACAAGAACCCAAACAAGTGTGTTAGAGAGCTATTAGAATTATTTCTTTTAACTATTAGTCCTTGTTGTGTTGTTTTGAACGATGACGTAACACAAAGCGTATTTAAAAATTTTCAACTTGTTTTTGAATTGCATTTCAATTATATTTAAAAGATCTCTCAACAGCGTCACTCCTGGTGCAGGGACTTGGCAGGTGGGGGCGGGGAGGCTGACCTTGCCCCGCCCACACCCATCCAGACTTATGGGGAACATACTTGATGCTACATACAGAACGAGAGTGGTACCTCCGTTCCTGTCGCTCCAATGCGTGATTCCACTTTGGGGAGTAAATCCAAGAACATAAAGGGTTTGAGAAGATGAGTTTACCCAGAGGTAATACAGTGCCATGTGTAAAGAGAGACTGGAGACCACCCAAGTAAATGGTCAGCAATTGAGAAATAACTAGGCAAATTATGGGGTATCGATGGGAAATCAGTGCTGTTAAAGGGTGCATCCCTGCTCCACATCGGCTCCCTAGAGTGAGGAGTAAACTGAAGACCTGTGCAACCTGATGTCTGGTCCCCCTGCATGTCACTTTATTTCTCCAGGCCTTGGTGAATTTTTCTGGAATGTAGAGTTGGACTAGATCTTTGCCAGTTCCTTCCAGGGCTAGCCGTCTGCAATCTGTGACAGTATCCACACCCCTCCACTGCCCACCCCCTCCTCACCTGGGTGTGGCTCAGCAGGGGGAGGGTGGCGTGGTGGGCTAAGCAGAAAGCCTGGCTGGCCTCCCAGGCCTCGGCCTCAGCGGAGAGGTAATAGCAGTGCTCCCCGGACCACAGCCAGCCCTGGGGGCACGGCCGGCACGTGGCCCCTGCAAGCGGAGACCACAGTAAGTCGCGAGTACATACGTTAAAAAATCAAAACTTGGCCGTTGCCTTGACTGAGGTGCAAATCTGGAGGCATGGCACTGGTGAGCCTTTGGGTGGCAAGCAGGGTGGGCAGGGCCCCCGGAAGGCTGTCCAATCTGTGCCGTGGACAAAGCCCCCGAGGGCTGACACCCGATTGCCCGTCAGGGCGCAGGCTATATCCAGCAAGAAGAAGGAGCTTTTTCCTTATCTTTGCTCAGCAGGCCACATGTCTTCATGCCCAGTGGGGATGTCTCCTAATTCTCACACAGGTACTGTGAGGACTAGACACCCTGGTGGTGGGGCCCGGCGGGGAGGGGAGAGGATGGGATGGGGAGGAGGTACCATACCTGTTCTAGAGGCCAAGGCCACAATGGCAACCGTGGACACCGCCAGGAGCACGGCCATGACTGCCAGCGCCCAGCGCAGGGACTTCATGTACATAGGCAGCCCTGGGGGTGGGGAGGGGACAACCAGGAGACACGTTAGAAGGAGACCATGCCAACCACGCTCACCGACTTACACACCTGCGTCACACCCACCTGAGTGGCCACCCCCTCGGCCCAGACACCAGGAAAAACATGGGTGAGAACTTCCTATTTGGGAGAAAAATGCCAGAAGATGTTCCATTTCTTGAATAACTGAAAGACCTAAGATTCTATTCAAGAAAGAGAACAAATAATTGGCTAACAAGCATTGATTGAGCACCTAGTGGGCCCTAGACTCAGGGTACAAATACACAGCCCTCAAGATGCTAACAGACGAGGCAAAGGTCCCAAGAGACAAGACAACAAACGAGAGAGAACTGAGGGATAGATCTGCAGTTTAACAGACCTGGATTCAAGTCCTGACTCAGGCGTTCTTGGTGTCTCCCCATTTTAACCCTGAAATCACCCGCCTCTTCTCTCTCTCCAGGTCGCAGGAGGCTGCTAAGGAAGCACTGTGCAAGGAGCACTTTGCAAGCTGTAGAACACTAGATGGGTGTGAGCTGTCAGCAGCTCAAGGACCCAGGGGACCAGGTGGCTGGAATGAAGTGGCAGGGGGAAAAGGAACTCTGGAGACAGGATGACATCCAGGCGGCAGGAATAGCGCAGGCAAAGGCTCAGACAGAGGACACACTCGAGTGCCACCGCCTGCCCTGCTGATGGTGCAACACCAGGGAGGTCAGAGGAAAAACTTGGAGAATAAAACACAGTAAACACGCTTAATCGCAGCCATCGATAACCAGCTTTCAACCCGGAAACACACACCTGTCCGAAGTGACTGAGCACTTCTGAATCGTGAAATCAATTAGAAGACGAAGAGACCTTTTCCCTCCCAGACGCCTTGCTGCAAGGTGCCCGGGACCCACCCAGGTCTCAGGGATGAGGGTCAGGAGTGCCACATCGTCGGGGTGAGGGTCCTAAAAACTCAGTCATCGTATCTGTCAAAGTCTGAAACAGCAGAGGTAATTCTCCAGCAAATAGTTTATTGTTTTTGAAAAACTGATTCCATTGAAAAAATCACATGGATGTATTAGTATATACCCACGTTAGTAATATTAGTATTAGTAGTATAAATACATAGATGTGTATGGCACACACACAAAGAAAGACAGAACACATTTCCAAGCTTTAATACATTTTCAATCATAATTCAACTTTAAAAGCATAAGCACTTATGAAATCCCCTTTTTCCTTTTGCATGAGAGAAAACCCTTCAAAGACAAACTATGTTACATTGATACATGAAAAGTCAACATTCCATCTGTGACCTTTTGAAGCTTTTAAAAAAAATACATAAAAAATATACATAATCTGCTTCTTAAAGGGATTTAACCCAAATTTCCATCAACTAATAAATGGATAAACAAAATGTGGTATATCCATACAATGGAATATTATTCAGCCATAAAAAGGGATGGGGTGCTGGTACATACATGCTACAACATGCATGAGCCTTGAAAACACTGTGCTAAGTCAAAAAAACCAGACACAAAGGACTTGTATTACATGAGTCCATTTTCATGAAATATCCATCTGGACTAGGCAAATCCATAGAGCCAGAAAGTAGATTAGTGGCTGCCTGGGGTTGGGAGCTTGAGGGTGGGGGGTGATAGTTAAAAAGTACAGCACTTCTTTCTGGAGTGAAACAAATATTCTAAAACTGTGGTGATGATTCTAAAGACCGTTGAAGTCTATGGTTTTAAATGGGTGGATTGTGTGGCACGTGAATTATAGCTCAATGAAGCTGTTAGCCAAAAAAGAGGATTTGAAAATGCTAAGAATAAAAGATACATAAATTAAGAGTCTTAAAAAAATGAAAGCAGAACTAAAAAGCCTGGGGAAGAAAAGGAAAATAAATCCGCCAATCACTTTGGTAAATATAACTATTGTAACTGAATTCAGCTCTGACCTTTAAGAAAACAAAGCAGTAAAGAAACACAGTAAGTTACAATAGTCTTCACACACCTTCTTCCACACGTGGGGCTCCAATGCTGACCTTGGAAACGCCTCCCCCCAGAGCCATCTGATCAGTACTTTGAGATGCTTAGGGCCATTATTTAGTAATTACCTTCAAAGCACCTGTGTGCCAGGTGTTGGAGTTTCAGTGAAACTCCCTTTCCATGCCCCCAGGGGTTCAGAGCCCAGGATCTTTACAAACAGGGAACAATAACTTCTGTGAGGCATGCCTCCATACGCTGCACAAAGGCCAGTGCCATTGGGAGCATTGAATCGGGACACGTAATCCAGCCTTGCAGACCAGAGGAGACGACTCTAACTCACACCTAAGGGAGACATATTCTCCCTCTGGGGATCTAGCTTTCCCCCCCAGTTCTGGCTCTCTGCAAACAGACTTCTCCCCTGGGCAAAGTGCTGCCACTGAGAATATTCTGAG